AAAGCTTTGTTATCGTAGTATTGTAGTTATCAGATGAAACGACATGGCAAAACTCCCTGCTTACTTTTCCAGAGTGTTTTCCTCACTTTCTGCAAATTACATTGGAGCATATTCAGTGCATACGCTTCTACTAGTGGAAAGAACCATAACATCTTTTTACTGTCTAAATAAATATTCCTTAGCAAAAAAGAAGCACGTTGTCGAAGATAAAAAGGTTTGTTTTGTTTTAAAGTATAATACAAATAAAGGAGGTAACTCAATATTTTTACTCTGATGTGTTTGCATAAGGAAAAAAAGCCCTGAAAAAACTGTAAAAAGAGCGATACAAGTGTATATGATACAGGAAAAACACTTAATCCAAGCCCTGCATGTAAAACACAATTACAGAGAGTTAATAATGGCAAATATAATTAAATAAAAAAGCTATCCACAGAGAATGTACAAGTGCATCCTTCAAAAAAAACCCCAAACCATCACGTTTCAATAATATGATGCCGTGCTTTCCTTTGTGGCATTCTTCATTGACTAGGCTGATAATGAAAAGATGTCAGGGAGATTCACAGTTTAGAGTTGTATTTTCTTCCTTTCTTTTGTGCTGTTTCTTCCCATTTATGGCTGTTTTCCTGCCTTTGCTCTATATGGAGGGTATGAAATAATTCATAGTTATGTTTTCTTGTGAGATGTAGGGCTGAATTTGACTTTATTATCATTACTAAGAGCATGCAAGTTAAGTTTACTCAGTTGAAAAAGACACAATGATGTTGTTCTTCTTGATATAGAAACAGCTATATGGGCTTTTATAGGTTTTTTAGTGTAGGCTTCTTCTTCTGTCCTAGATTTGATAGCTACTCTATCAGCTGGAATTATTTTTTTTCCCTTCCTCATTCTCTTTTTGAAAAAAAAATCATTCTGATTTATCTAAAAGCACATCAAAACATCTTTATCTGTTCATAGTGAGTGAGAAATTCCTTCAGATTAAGGGGAGGGGTGCGGGAGAGGAGGGAAGAGAGGCAAACAATAAAAAAAAGCTGAGACCAAACCAGTTTGCCTTCTCCTTTTGTGCAGTGCATGTAATGACTGAACTTTTGACTTTAAAGTTTTTCTCTAGTGCAATACTGTAGAAAAAGAAATAAACAAACAAACAAACAAAAAATATCCCCTTGGTGCAAAGACTGGTCTAAGGCAATACCTGGTGAGTGGAATTTGGTTTTTTTGGTTGTTGTTGTTTACTTGAAGCAGATAAAACACCCACCTTAAACCCGCCCTCTATTCAGTTCAGCAGCACCTCCATACTCCAATAAACCGTTTTCATTCCATCTGGCGTGCGTTTGCTCTGAAGACATTTTCCTGTCAATCTCTCCTGCCACATTAAAAATCTGTCATTACTATTGCATTGCCGCCTGGCTCCTGAGATTTGTCTGACTGCTTTATTGCTCCGCTCATTTTTTTTTTTCTGCTACAGCCGAGAAGCAGAAATAAAGGTTTGTTGTTGAAACATGGCCGCAAGGAAAGTAGGAGGCACACATCTGTCAAGGTATTACCTTTCTTCAACCAGGGATTAAGGTGTTTTACTGCTCTCGCTACTGAGCAGTCACACTGAATAAATTTTCTCAGTAGAACATAAAAATGAACTCATACATTTTGAACTGGGTTTCATTCTTTCAAGCCAACCCATATAATTATGCAATGGCATCAGTGTTCGGGGGAAAAAGAAGAGTCAGAAACGTTTGTGTGCACACCCCCCCCTTCTCTCTCCTGCACCACCCTTTACATTTACATTATTTAAATGCTTATTAAGAGGGCAAGACTGAGGCAATCAGAACTGGGGAGAGAAATGGTTTTTTACTCTTCCTTGTTGTTGTTACTGGATCTCTTGCAAGGTCAGACAGGGTGCAGGGCTTTGCTCCCCATGTTTTGTGTCTGTGACCGCAAAATATGCCTGACCGTGAATATTCACTGTTAATTCACGTTGAAGCAAGCCAGTAGAATTGTGATTTCTGAAATATTGTTTCTTGAAAAAAAACTAGCAGTATTAGCTGCCATGTAGCCTTCCCATTTCTGCTGCAGACATTAACTTTACAGTCCCAATGGTACAAATAAAAATAATTTAAAATGTAAGTATAACCAGTGGAAGTGCTTGTTACACTAAGTCAGAGCATGCCAGACCATCCTCCTCCATCCTCTGCTGGACAGTCCTGCCTCATCATCTTAGTCCAGTTTTAAAAGGTCAGACCTCTAATGCAGAAGAGGTTATCTCACAAAACAAACATTAAGGTGCAGGCAAATGAAGGATCAGGTCAAACATGTCTGTGAAGGGGGACAATATAAGGAGTTTTATGGTTTGTTCTTTGTAGTGTTTTTGAGGTTTTTTTATGGAAAGGCTTTTAAAGTTGACGAGACCCCAGGAGAGAAGGACTAACCTCAGTGAAGGAACCATAATCTTGTACAAACTTTAAGGAAAGAATAGTTAAGTAAATACTACATAAGTCAGAAAACACAGGTCCATCTGTGGCATGCAAATACCTCCAGGTAGCTCCCCACCATCAGTTTGACTCATTCTCTGTTTTGCCCATTCTCTAATTTGCCCATTCCCTGCCCTCTAAACTTCCGCAGTGCATCCTCTCAGGCTCCCCTTTGGAGTGAGACAAACACCTCCCACCAGAGAAATTAAATTGTGCCATTGCTGACTGACATATTTATTTAGCAGTAAGGTAGCTGAACTGAGGTTCAACAGAGAAATATATTGGATCTTCAGTTCTACTGGAAAACTGCTGCTTGAACAAAAGCAAATGAGCTATCCCACAGGTCAGCAGATAATCTGTCACTCACTTATTCTTCATAGTGTCCCAGGAAGGTCATAAATCGCCAGGATATCGGTTCAGTACTGTATTCCCCCAGCCTCCACTTTCTGCTGGCTATTGGCTTTTTTCCATCCATTTCAACCCAGTGAAGACACAAGGAAAAGTGAGCATTGTGAAATTTTACACTCCTCTTCCCGGTCCCACCTCCTTCCCAGAGCTAAGTTGCATGACTGATTTTACAGCTTTTTCATGCCAGAACAGCACCTGGGAACATGTCAGGCTGGATTGTGAGGTAAAGCTCCATCCCAAAATATTTCCAGGTTTTAATTCTTCAGGGGAAGGAACCATCTTCTTGTTCTGTGTTAGTATCTAACACCTTGCACAATGGGGGGATTTAGGGTTGTTAAATAGTGCTTCAGTGCAAATGATAAATAATAGCATGCCTGTGGAAATATAGTTCCTTCAGCTACTTTTTTTATTGCATCCTTCAATGTGCCTCTTTGGCTTAGACCATATTTGCAAGTAGCTGGTGCATAGAAATAAACAGATATAGAGAAAAAATTTTGCTAAGGACCTTATGTCCGCAATGCCTATCTTTTTGGGGGTTACCTCAAACTAATTCTAGTCTGGTCCCATGGACTTGATGCACATTAACAAATTGAATACATTAGGTGTGACTGCAGAACACAACTTCTATACTAGTTTCGTCTGAAAGAAACCCCTCCCTCAGCCCTTTCTTGCGGTACAAGCCACAGCACTCTCAACACTGGTGTGAAATGCAGCTGATGCCCTCTCTGAAGCCCCTTGTGTTTTCTAGGTCCTGTGTGTGACTGAGGCTCCTCCACGGATGCTGTTTGCAGAGAAGCAGTGCACTCATCTGCTACGCCAAGTAAATTCTGCAATGTATAGTTAGGATGCAAATCATTTGCAGATAATCAACAAAAAAAGAGGGAGAGAGAAACATATGCCTCTCTTAAAGAATTCTTTTTCTTTTTTTTTTCTTTTTTTTTCTCTTTTTTTTTTTTTTTTTTTTACACAAACAGCTTTCTCAGTGAGTTTGTATGATATAACCCTCAGGGAACTTGAAGTCTGTAGCAGTGTTACACTTGGCTGTAAATTCAGATAATTTGCACAAAGTGGGGAGTTTTGGGTGGTCTTTCAAAATCAAGCTTCAATATTTTTTTCCAGAGATGTGTTTGCAGGTAATGGCCCTTTACCTACTAACTTCTTCTGTCCCAGCATACATAGTTCAGAGTCAAAAAATGTTGTCAGTACCTGTAGTTTCATTTGCAAAGCCTGTCTGAAGTGCTTCATACGTTTGGGTGTGTTTAAATTACATATCAGGATACAGATTAAAGATGGCAAATGGCCTCTTGCCAAGATACTTTAAAAATCAGATCATATTTGTAAGACACAACTATAAAGGGCCCAATTTCCAGAAAATGTGGCACTACTGGCAGTCCTTTTGGAAACTTCAGAGTTCTCTTTTCCTCTGAAACAAAAAGCTATGTCCCATTTTTTTAAAATTTGAACAAATATTTGAATAAGAACAATTGAAACTAAAAGGAGTGCCATATCTCATTCCTCATTAAACTGACCACTTGATTTTAATTACCCAGGAAAAACATGACAATATTTTCCCATGGATGAAGAACCTTCCCATCTAATCAAAGCAGCTGGAAGCTTGAATTTAAATATGCATAGCTGGTCCACACAGAGGGCTATGGTTGATAAGTATCTGAGATGAGAACCTGGGCTATACAGTTTGATCTGGTTCTTGGGGTTATCTGTCTAACCATGGCTGCAGCTCATCCTGTCAGGCAGTGGTTATCAAAGCTTTATGTGCAGTCCCAATGGAAAAAGTCAACTGCATGTATTATCTTCATTCCAAGAACCAACTCCAGATACACAGAGCTTTAATAAGTAAATGATTTTTTTTCTGCCCACAACTCAATAATTAATACCTCCTCTCAAAAAATTAATTCAGGCTGCCTTCACATGACAATTTTAGACTCCATGTTCTCATCTCAATTAACATAAAGCCACTCCTTGCTCTGTGCATTTAGGTCATCCCATCTTTACCTGTTTTTATTCTCCTGGTATCAGTAAAATTAAGTTAGATCCATTCCAGATATATGTAACTAATGAAAAACCCTTTTCCTGAGTAAAACTAAATGTATCCATCTTCCTTTCCAACAGGAATGTGGAATTCACTTGTTCCAGTTTCATAACTGTCCCTATCACACCTCTCCACAGAGCACTGTCAGCCAGTGCCAGCTACCCAAGGACAGATACTGCTTTAAGTGTGGGAATAACAGAAAGAGTCTCTTCAACCATTACATTTTGAGCGAAAGAAAGGGCACAGAGCTACCCAGAGTCAAGCTTTGAAATTTTTTTTCCACTGATGAGAGTAGCAGCTTAGCCTGTTCTTTTCTATATCACCTGCCACTGGAAAAGAGCACATTAAGCTTCTGCATGGGATGCCGAACACCTGAACCAAAACTACAGTGAGGAAATATTTATGAGGACTATCTCCTTTGCTTCCATCCACTGAGCCTTTTTACACAGACAATGCTTTAGAGATTTACCAAGGGGGTTCCTATTCCCATTAACTCCAGCCAACACAGGCTTGGTCCTATGCTTTGCCAAAGGTCTGTTGAGGTGGCAGCTGTACCCATCATTTGCAGGATGGACAGAAAGACATTACAGAAGGGAAAGGCATCCACTGATCTTCAGTCAGCTCTGAGAGAGACCTTTTTCTACCTCAGGCCTCCTGAACTAGAGAAGTTCATGTCCACTGTGCAGTATCTGTGCATGGATGCAGCACCTCCCCTGCCCATTCTCTTCCAGTCTCTGCGACACTGTGGCACTGACCGTAGAAGTACCACACACCCAAGGAGCAGTGGAACAGGCTCAGGGATGTGTGCTTGTGAAACCCACATGGAATCACTCCCAACAAGACTACTGCTCACATACGTACAATTGCATGTTGAAGCATCTTCTGTGTCATGGTGTCTCATTTCTCTGCTGCTCGGAAGGAAGTACCACCAATGATTGAGGCAGAGAAGAGTGTGCAGCTCTGTCTCAGGTCTGTTTTCATCTACAGAGCGTGCACTTGTGGTTTGCCTTGTCTTTTCTGTCTCCCTCTGCAGTGGTGTTTCGAGAAAGCGGATTTTCCCCCTCAGGGAGAATTTGCCCTGCTGATGCACAGATCCCAATGCTGTACTTTAGAATACTGCATGCTGCATTGCAAGTGTGGTGGCAGACATCTGGCATCATCTTCCAAAGGCTGCAGATTATGATTTTTTACCCCAAACTCAATCAAAAGTGGTACTGGCACTCTTTATTAATCCAAAACCTGCATTTTGGCTATTAATTCACTAAGGAGCTCCAATAAAAATTTGATAATTTTTGTCATATTTCACCCCTACAGCCCTATCTAGTTTGTGCTTCCCACATGATAAGTGCTTTCACTCTGATAAGCTGCATTGGCTCACAAATTAAACCAAAAAGGCTGCTTCATTCTCCTTACACTGTACATAACCAGGAGATTTGGAGAAGAACAGGAAAGGACAGAGAGGTATTATCTTTTTAAGTCTGTCCAACAGAACAACTTCTGCAGCACATCGTGTGGGAGGTAGCCTTCAGGAAGTGTTTTTTTGCAGTCCAGTGGGTGCTTTGAATCCAGGTCTGTTTGAGCACCTCTCAGGATGCCTTCACTGTCTTCTATGGGTGGACCCTGTGCTCAAATATTTATAGATTACTACTATGCAGGAACTGCAAGGATAGATGGTCTCCTCTTCAGAAAAGAAGTGGGAAGAGCAGAAGCCCCACCATCCTTTCTGATCTCTGTGCCTGCTCTTGGCAACAAGAATAAGTTTTATTATGAAATATAAGAGCTCTTACCCCAGAACACGAGGTGAAGTGGCTGCTCTTGTGTCTCAGCTGAGACTGAAACCGGCCTGGAAACCCTGAGGTCAGTTTACCTAGAGAAAGGAGCCGGCTACTGTGACATTTCCCTCTGGAGGGTGACTGCAGCACCTCAAAGGTAACCAGGGCTCTGTGGCTGTTTATTTGTGCTCTGTGGTGCCGTGTCCTGCAGGGCGTGTGTAAGTCCACAAAATAATGATGAATCGAAGGGGTAATTAAAAACCACAACGACATTGATCTGCTGAAATTTCAGAGGGAGTTCAGGGCACACAGGGGGACTGTCCATCTTACCTCACGCAGGGCCAGCTTGATTGGCCTGCTGAGGATTGCAGATGGAGAAGCTGCTCACCTGTGGCTGGGAGGGCTCCCAGTGCAGCAGCTCCACTGGCTTCACAAAGCAGCAAAACAGGAGGATGGGGAGTGCCTGGGCTGGGCTGCCACCCTCTGTCCTTGCAGAGCAGCAGAGAAATAATTTAAAGATACAGGTCTGTTTTCCAACCCTTGCTCTCTAACCCACAGGAGGCAAACCCCATATTTTTATAGAAGGACTTTTCCCCTACTAAGAAGCATTAGGTTTTCAGAATTCTTTGTTGTATGTGGTCACTATTTAACACTGATTCACAAATAAGTCTTCTGGTTTAATCCACCTTCCATTAGTTTATTTTCTTAATTCAAAAACTCCAGGGGACATTCCACATCAACTTCTACCTCTATATGGAATTTCATTTCATATTCTAACTCAAAACAGAATAAATATAAACTAACTTGGGATCAATGACTTTCCCTCAGACAACAAACTCTCTTTCTTCAGTTTGAACCTCAATTTGGACTGAGGGATCATTTCTCAACTCTAACTTAAAGATTATGGGTTTCAACCTACTTCAGAAGCTGTCTTTATGCCAGAGCAGAGATAGAGAGCTCACTAAGTTAACAGTGATGTCATAGTTTTCTTTGGTAGCTGGCATATTCTGTGCATCATTATATAATCACAGATTTTTACATTCTTTTTATAAATCACAGCCTATTTTTCGTTCTTTGCTTCCTCCCACTTCATTTGCTATTGACGGCTGCTGCTAAAGTTCCCTTACCTCTTGGAAAGGAAGTAGGTTAAGAACAGAAAGGAGAACTCTATCAGATTAAGGCAAACGTGTGGGTCCTACTGAGAAATGATGCATCTTACAATAGTACCAGCAAAACAGCTTACTTTGAAGGCTGAATTGCTAAATATATCCAGAGACTTCTGTGAGCCAAAAGCAGCTGTCTTTGCTTGTTTTCAGTTGTTAGACTCCTGATGTCCCAAAAAGCACAGCCTCACAGAGGGTCAAAATTGATGCAATCAGGATAATAAAATCACTCTGACAAGGCTGCAGTTTGTACTTAGTTTATAATTAGGAGTCTGCTCTGTCAGGTTAAGATACTGTAAATTTCCAGTGAATTGTTAAGCTATTCACAGCACTCTGATGCTACTAAACTAGGAAAATATAAAGTCCTAAAAATATCTTCATGTAAACACATCAGAAATGGAAGGATGGGAAATCCAGACAAAATAGAAACTCATCTAGAGTTGTGCCTTCTACACTGGAAAATGGTGAGACTTTGCAATATTTAATTTGAGGCTAGCTGACAAAGAAATATTATCTTTAAAAATGAAGTGAACCAGAGCTTCAATTAGGATGAATTTTAAATATTTAAGGTGATTTTTACAAATCACAGATTATGTTTTTTGTAATTTAAAACTGAAAGAACCTATTCTGATCAACTTATTTTTTATCATCCAAAAGACAAAAAAAAAAAAAAAAAAAAAAAGATTCCTGATAACTTCTAATCTGGAGGGAAAATTAACACAGATTTCTGATTTTTGACTGTATCTCTCTTTCTGGAAACTTCTCTGCCCAGATGCAGTCACCTGTCTCTGTAGACCTGTTTGAATACCTCCAGCCAAACTTCCCTTTTCTTGTCTAGAGGACATCTCGTTTTTGCCAAGGTTCTTTAATGCAGTGTTCACCCCAAGTGATTACCTTACCTCCAATCACAGTTGACTAGAAGAGTGTGAACTTTAAACACTTTTTCCCTCTGCAGTGAGAAATTAGAAGTGTTTCCATAATTACATGCTATGAGGGACAAAAAGTTGAAGCAGCATCAAAACCAGAGAAACTGACTAAGAACTCATCTAAATTATTGTCTGTACTAAGGTTACATTCAGCAGACTTTGGAAATCTTCCAGTCTGAAAAGCTCAATACCAGAACAAAATCCTGTGCAATCCTATTGTACTTTGAGTGTGTTCATGAAAAAGAAGATTTCAGAATTAGGTTAGTTTAGTTTTTTTACTTTTCTCTGAGTCAGAAGAGTATCCTATAGGTTACAGATCTTTGCTTTTCATGTGCATAGAAATGTAACATGATTTCATTTATTAATTTATATATATCATCAGTTACATGAACTAGATGCAGATCTCAGACACCCAAATACAATTTCAAATGTATCCAGCACCTCCCTCAATCACCTATCTAAGGATGTGAACTGCATTCTGATTGTGTCCAAAATTGACAGCCCTCAATATTAAAAAATCCAGAGTCAGCTCCCAAAATAATGTGAAAATGGTGGAAAAATCATAATATTTTTAAAACCCATCTTAAATATTGGCTTTAAAATAAAATCTATTGAACTTTTAAAGGTTCCTTTTTTACAAACTGTTCTTGACAAACAGAAGAGCTATAAATGCTCATATTGCTAAAAATAAAATAAATAAGGTTTTTTCCTTTAGGTTCTACAGGTGTTAATAACACCACCAAAGATAGTGTAATTCCTGATGCAACCTGGAAAATTGACTACACTGCCTGTTTAGCTGTCCACAGTGAAAGGTTCTCAGCATTGACTTCTACTCTGCATCAATATTTACTGCTCCTTAGAGCAGAGTGGCTCAGAATTAGCGGCCAGATTTTTAATTAACAGATGAGCTCAGTATTTTGGGTGGTTTAAGTACCGTGCTGTACCAGTTTTTTGGACAGAGCTGGCTGAGGTATGCTGAACATGCAGATTTGTCCTGGTGTCCTCAGCCCATGCTGGCTTTGAGATGACACATCTGGGCTCTTCCACTGGTTTAGGGTGTGCTCACAGCTGGGCAGTGATTACCTCTCCTCTGAAAAAGGCTTAAACCACTTAGTGATGGGGAGCTTTGCAGGGCCTCTAAAATACACATTTACACAGCCATATTCATTTCTGGGTAGCCTAAAAAAGATTTTTCCAAAGTCAAGCATAAACATTCAGCTTGCAGGTGGAACCCATGGGACATGCTCAGTTGCCTGGAAAATCACTTTAAAAATTAGCATGTCTGCTCTGTAATATATTATGTGTAGTTTCTTTCTTACCTTAGAAGGAATGAAAGCATTGACTATAGGGCCCAGATTTTATTGTGCTGCACAAAATTGCTTTCCAAACGGGCTGGACTGGTAAAAATATTGGTTTCACCTTTGCAACACCTCTTTCTCAAGAGAATTCTCCAAAAGTACCAGATTTTCCTGCTGAGTCAGCCCAAGTGCCTGTGTTAATGGCCTCTGGAGAGAAACACTTCAACACATCCACAGAAGGAAGGCTCCAGCTGAAAAAATCAGAATTTCCATATACAATTTTCTTACATACTAAGCAGTCTTCATGTCAGTTCCAGAGTCCCATGACACCTCATGCCCTTATATTTTATCTGTCACACTGTAGTTACAAACCAATACGAAATAACCTGTGTCTTATACATTTTGGCTAAGGGAAAAAAAAATAAATGCAAATAGACTAAACCAAAATATATTATAGTGTTTCAAAATTAAGAAGAAACACCACAAATTAAGAGACCTGAACCATGCACTCTCCCAAATTAATATTAAGGTCATAGAAAAGTCAATGCTTTGAGAAAATTCAATGATTGAGAAAGTCCCCATCAGTGAAGAGGTTCCATAAAAATGTTAGAGCATGATAATTTTGAGATGATACAGAAATAATAGTGTTTATTACCAATGTTATTTGCATACCTTACTGGCTTTAGGTTTAACTAAGCCTTCATGCACAATGCACTGAGAAATGCATTGTCCTTCACTGACACAGTTTGCAGTCTAACCAGACTGGGAAGAGACAAAAAGGCTTATTCATCTTATGACCATTATTCCACAGAGAGAGAACTGAGAAAAGTCATGGAATAGCACACAGAACAAAAATTCTGTGGATTGAGCACCACCATATGAAGTCCCTGTTCAGTGTTTCAGCTTCTATTTCATAAAATAAAACTTCCCCACAAGTTGGTTCTTGGCCCTCCCCATTATGCTACCAGCACATACCATTTCACTAGTAAGTGCTGTGGGTTCAGCAGGTCAGTGGCTACAGTGGCCTTGGCGAGGATACCGTATTTGCCACACAGATAAGGCCAGTCCCCTGCTGGACTGCCCTGAGGACTGTTCCTGATCTCATCTCATACCATCTCCGTGCTCCCCCATCCAACTCTCTTCCCCCAGGGACTCTACAGGAATCTGCGCTCTTCCTCCTGAAGGGATTAACCCCAGCTCCTAACTGATATCAGTCTGAAGTCCATGTGTCTTCATCCTACAACTATGGTCACTGGAGCCCACTCACACGGGCCTAGGGGAAGGACTGAGAAAAAGGTGCACAGACATCTTTGGGCTGATCTGTACTTCACTCAGAGCACTATTGTGTTTGACAACGTCTTAGGTGTGTATGGAGTTATATCAGTGGAAACCTATGGTTCATTACCAATCTGCTTTGGTCCTGGAGGAGGGGAGGTGGAAACAGGAGGGGGGAAAAATACCCAGATGGGAAATGAACCTGTGCATCTCTCCTGGGAAAATGCATTTCAGTCATTCAAGCAACAGCCTAGCCTATGGAAAAAAAGATTGTTCTTTCCAGCTGTTATGCCAACAGAAAAAATAAATTTAAAATAGAAAAGTGAATAAACTGAGCATATTTTTATCATACACTTTCTTGAAAATTACTCACAACATTCTTGTTTCTTATGAGGAACCATTTTTAGTATTAAAGTAGTCATACACTTTTCCAAAAAGTGCTTCCTGAAAAACTGAAACCATTATTATCTTAAACTCCCACACAGTTTGT